CCGCATTACCGCCTTTCTCGGTTCTTGCAGCTTCCTCCCCAGCCTGCCTCGGTTCCTGGAAGAACACAGTAAAATGCACCCGAGGCAGTTTAGCCCTCAGCTCGTTCCCACTAATTCACTCTAGCAGACTTGAACATCCTGACCTTACTTCCTACTTCTGTACCATGCTCTCTGCATGTGAAAAAAAAAGAAAGATGCAGTATTATTTTTATCTATTATTTTATATAAATAATTTTATTGTCATTCTAGTTATTTTTATCAATGACACATTATGTCCAGGCATCTTTGCAGGGGACGTTACTGAAGATAGATATGGTGAGTTAGTGGACAAGGGTGCTATAGCGCATTGATATCGTGCAATTGCTGATGGTGAGACTCTAAAGATACCTTCTTATACACATCATATTATATCTTGCTTTACTCTTTCTGTCAATCAATAAACAGTAGGTTTGTACACCTTGTAAATGCTCCCACTTTCATTTCCTCTACCACTTCCAGTCCAACTCAAAGCCTTCCTTAAGACTCAAGAGATGCATAGACATTCAAAGTATTACTGCCATGTCACGCTCAATCAACGTACGACTAAAGTGACTCTTGCTTTCCTAAACCAACCCTTTCCTAAGGCTTTCCTAGTGCAGCTTGTCTTATTTGTATTAACCTTTCAGCTAGCAATTTCATCAGGGAAGTGACTCCTAAATTCAGCATGATTTAATCTCTGTGTCTTGAACTGTCTCCAGGGGACTGAGGCGAGGGGCACAGCCAACTGGTGTGGCCACTGGCAAACTGGCAAATAGGTGCTGGCAACCAGTGTCAGAGGTGGGGAGCAACTGCAGGCAGAACTGAAGGGAACCAACAGCTCCGTCAGTGCCTGGGTGGGTTCGCAGCTGGGGAAGTTGGGCAAAAGGAGATTTGAGACAAGGTGGGACAGGAGGGAGCACTAGTTTGGGAAAAGGGAGCCAATAGGGGCTGGTTTGGATTAGTGGGATTGGATGGGAAGAGATTTGGAGCAAAGTGGGAAGCAGATGATTGGAAACTGAGGGATTTTATGTGGAAGAAGTTGAGGGACATGTAGGTAAATTAAGGCTTGGATGGAAAGATTTCAGATCATGGAGAAAGGGTGTAACTGGAGTAGTATCAGTTTGAGGGGATTTGGTTCAAGGTGGGAAAGAAGGATCTGAACTGGAGAAAGACATCTTAGAGCTGGCGGCTCTAGGAAGGTCTGGGGATGAAAGGGTCAGGCTAGGGTGGGAAGGGCTTTCTGGACAGGAGGGATGAGCAGCAGGAAGCTTGGCATCTGGGAAGACAGGGAAGCTCCTGGAGGTGGCGTTTTAGAGGACTCGAGCTCTGCACAGAAAAAGGGTGGTTACTGGTGACTCAAAAGAAGGTGTCAGTGGCAGCACGGGCTTCACTACGGCCTCTTGCTCAAAAGGTCTCTTCGTCTTTTCTTCCTTACAACAGAGTGCAGAGACTACCCCGATCCTACATGCCCACCTCTGTCCTCTCCTTGTCTCTCAGTAAGGATATGTCGCCGTGCTTACATTAAGTATCTGTTTTATTGAATAGGGTCCTTTTTATCCTTGCATCCACTGCCTGAGCGCTGGTAAGAGAAAGAGAACTTTCTTGCTGATGGGAACAGTTGTACATTTGCTTTTAGTTGTAAAATTTATTGTTGTGTTGTAAACAATAAACTTGTTGGGTTGTGAAATTTAACATGTTCAATGTTGAATTGTCTTATAACTATTAATAAAGAAAACCTAATTGATTTTACAAGGTTATTACTCTGTATTAGATATAATATGAATTAAATACATATAACACATAGTATATATAAATATGAAATACTATTGGCTTGATTTATCATTCAAATACAGGCCCATCCAGTGAATCAGGGTCAGGAACGGACCTCTCATATTTCTGCTGAGGGCCTAGCACTTCTCATTTTATTTTGAGGACCTAGTACTTCTAATTTGAAGGCTTTTTATAGCTTAGCTACTACAGAAGCCAGTCTACAGGAGAGCTTGTCAGCTCAGCAGTACTGCTTAAAAAGAGCATCTGACTTCCATACTCTTTTTGTTCACTGCATTTCGTTGAACAGCGGGCAGTGCAAAATATCTCAGCTTCAGGCCCCTGTTACACGGTCTTGGCCTCCCATAACACCCTTGTTTCACCAGACCCTGAGTCAGCTCAAGAAAGAAAAATATCCTTTACAGATGCATTTGTCAAGGAAAGCAAAAACTGTATCTAGAAGGCTCACTTAAAGAGATTCAGTTAACTATGAAACTTGTAACCTGCAATCACAGCGTCAGTTTAGCTGCTTCTGCCTCATATATTCTTACTGCTTTACAAAATGACATGAGTACTAATGTCAAAATCTTTGATATTGGTGAGGCAAGAGACAAACCACAGCTAAGCTTTTTTCCCCTCCTAAATCTCAGGTTGAGTTTGTGCCCTGGTCAGTTATAAAAGTGATCTCTCAGCTGGTAAAACTGGAGATTTTATGTGGAATCATAGCATGTCAGTCCAAAACTCCAGCAAGAAAGTTATCTTCCTGCCTGAGACCGCGCTCTGAATGGCCTAGATGAAGTCAGCCACAGACTTGGTAGCAGTCTATAAAGATAACCATTGGTTTCGGGGCACGATGGGCCCATATCAAGGATCCCAAATCTGGGGAGAGATCATCTGCAACTGCTCAGCCCCAGCTCTGAGACGCAAGCAACAGAGCTGTCATAAATGTGAATAACTGGAATTTGTATGAGGGTGATGATGATGTAATTTGTACAGCTGGGACATCACATGAAAGCCAAAGAAAAATAAGAAACAAAACATTCATAAACACAGACACACACACTATCGGGAAGTTTCACCTCAGGAAATCACTGTGGCTCACTGTTCCTGTCAGTAACGTGTCTGCAAATGTCACCCAGCAGCAATGCCTCACTCGACAAGCAGCCCCAGAAAACAGAGGCAACCAAAATGGTGATGAGAGATTGCCACATACTTTTGAAACAAGTCAGGGATCAGAGCAATTGGGAGAAAAATTACGCAACAAAATAAACAACTTTTGCCAAGAAAGCCAAGACTGAGGGAGGAAGTTGCTTGTGCCAGTCCTGGTCACAGAGGAGAAAGCTCTGTTTCTCTAGGACAGGACAATATCGTCGGATTCAATATTTGTGTCTCTCTACTTCCCTCTCTACTTAACTCTTTGAACAACTATTTTGCCCAAACTGGTGATCATACTCAAAGCTTCCCCTGTGAAATGCTATCTGGCTACACGCGGGCTGTACGTCTGTGTGAAACAACTATACTAAATTTTAGCAGACATATGTGGCATGGGAAAACAATTTCCTTCCTCCAGAGAACCACACTTTTCTTCTTTGACTTAAGCTTACAGAAGAGCCCTGTTGTCTGTCCTTAGAAGTAAGAGCTCTCTTACCTTTGTACTAACAATATAACTGTATAGTACATAACAATATATATAACAATATAACTATATATATAACAATATAACTATATAACATGTAACTGTATTATAATATAACTATTATTACTATTAACTTTTACCGTAACTATTTAGATTCACAATTAGAGAAGAAAAAATCACAGGTCCAGGAGAATTTAATTCCATTTTCTACTGTCTGTGAGCACACCTCTGTTGCACATTACAACAAGAGGATTAGGGCTGGGAGACCAAGTCAAAGGGTGTACCTTTAGATAAAGGTAGCAGAAGACACAGAGGTTCATGTCTGTCTTACTTGAAATAAGAGCCTACAGGGATCCCTCACTAGAAAAGTCTCTTGCGTTTCAGCTGCTGGTGTCCTGCTGATGGTGGGACACAAAGTAATATTAGACAATGCAAATTTAATGAGGCTCTGCTACACAAAATAAAGGATGCAAGTACAAATGCTGTGCTAGTCACAGTAAGACAGAGTGAAGAAAGACCCATCACAAGGGCTTTGCCTGTATTCCTCTTACTTCCTCTGATGAATATCATGATGAACTCCCTAGGCTTGTCTATCCTTTTACTGTATTCTTCCAAATCTAATGCTTCCAAGATGAAGTGTGAGGCTGATGATCCAGTGTGCACTTTAATAAAAGTACTGGTACAGAACAGACGTCAGCAGGGTAACTTTTTGCACTGTGCTATTATCACGATGCCGAGCTGGAGCCTTCATGTTTGCAAGTCTACTTCATTTTCTGAGGTCTACTCAGCCTCCAATGGCTCTGCTGACATTAGCAAATTTGCCAGTCACGATGGTAATCACAAGCCTACTAGGAAATGAGGTCACAAGAGTAGCTGGAATAACTTCAGAAAAGCCTTCCATTAGACAGCAGTGACTGAAAACCATTACTGACGTAGGCTGATTTAGAAAAAGTGGAAAACTGTATCTCATTACAAGTTGCCACTATATGCAGATTAAAAAAATAGTCTGTTTGGTGCCACTTCAGGTAGACTGAAGACGGACTTGGCTCGGGAGAGTATTCACAGCGTTTTAACAGGTTAATACTGGCAGGTTTATTTAATACACTGAGCTCAGTTCCTGTTGGCTAATGTTAACGTTGGCACAATTAGGCTGATGAAAACACTGTACAGACGTCTTCTGGCGATCCAGTCCCTCCCCAACACTTGTAAGTATCAGATAATAAACTCTTTTTCCATGGTTGCTCGGGTTGGTGATTCACTGAAGATTACTTACTCTAGTTTCTCCACTTCCTTTTGTAATGTGTCTGGCCTTCTTACCTAATTCCATGCTTTCCTCGCAGCAGCTCTGGTTATCGGCCAGTCAGGACTTCTGTGGGATTTCTTGCTGCGGGCTGATGCAGCGAGCAAGGAGGACTGAGCGAGGAGGGCACCAAGCAACGGCCCTCGCCTCCCAGGCCGGGGCTGCGGCGGGGCTGTGTGAAAGCAGGGGGGTAAGCTGCAGAGCAGGGGCAAAGACTCCCGGCGGTGACAGCTGGCACGCTCCTCGTCTCACTCCTTTTTTTCATTTGAAATCATTGCAGGTGCTTCACCTTGCGGAAATTTAGCTTCTCTAAAGGTGAGCTTTTTGTCTACACTAGACTTTACTTACTCCTCTGTAGCTGATTCCCTGTCATTATCCTATGCAGCTGGTTCCTTGTTATTATTTACTAAATGCTATGTTGAAACATGATCATAAGTTTAAACTCCCACCTTATTTAAACCTCTATTTAGAATCATCAGAATAAATTGTCATTTTCCTACTGGAGGTTAGTTAATTCTTGTCTGTTGTTTTTGCCTCTAACAGCTAAGTTTTGCTATCTGTTTTTAATCTCCGCCCTTACTTTTAATTAGGCTCACCTTTCCCTGTAATCATTGCTAGGGTAAAGTAGAAAAATGAGAGGTGGATGTTGGAAAACCAGTGGGTTTTAAAAGTTTCTGTTCTACGTGCAGGTGGAGAGACTGCAAAAAAGGAGCCCCTAGAACGATTACTGGTTGCGAGACCCAGAAGGCGAGAGCCATACCTTTGCTCCCTGCAGAGTCACGGCAACACATGGTGCGAACACGCTCCTAGTTCTCTTGGCAGCACCTTCTAGCATCACTATGACGGGCAGAACAGATTTCAGTTGCTCTGCTCTCCCCCATACCTGCTTTTTTACAGCTCAGGAAGGAGGTCTGAGATTCTGGAGCATTTCAGCATTTTAGCTTTCTGTTCTGCAAAGGCCTGTATCTATGGGGTGGAGAGTAGACTATAAAATTACTTGTTGGAAGCAGTGTTAGTCCCCTGGCTATGTCTGGACTGAGGAACGTGGGTTTCACAGCGTTCAGGCAGCTTCTCAGCCTGGGTGTGTTTTCTGCTCGGTGCCCAAGTTACAGGCTTTTCTCTGTATTTGCACTTTTATGGGAAGGAAATCTGTATGTGTGGGCCAGATGGAGGTCATTACGTTGTTTAATCAGATTCTAAGTCAGGATATCAAGGACCAAGACCTAGAGACATCTGGTGGTACGTACCCACAACTCATCTGAAGCATCGTCACCTGGTAGAAGTTCTTATTGTCAGTGAGGGAAGAGACCCCCGCTGCGATCTGCAGAAACCTTTCTGCTCTTGTCGTCCTGACTTTTCCCTTATTTCAGCTGTTAGAGCATATTAAATAAGCATTTTCCCAGTGTTTCTCTTCCATGCAAGTGCCTGCTTTAGTTGCCATAGGGATGGTCTGTGACTGCGACTGGCAAGGATCTCAAGGCCATCTCTCTGGTGATGTGATGTCTGCTGTCAGTGAGTGAAAGCCCCTGCTCATTTGCATTTCACAGCTCCAGTGATGTTTATTGCCAGTATCAGAGCAGATGCAAAGAATGATTTGTTTTACTTAATCTATTTTTTTCTTGCAGGCCAGCTACAATTCTATTTTGTATTCTCTTCTGATAGAAGTCAGCATGAATCAAGCCTAGAAACTTGTCATCTGAGGCAAAGAATATGCTGTTGACCTTATCTCCAGTCTCAAGATGGCCTATAGATTTTCAGGGAGCATAAAGCCTAAAGGAATTGATCTGTGCATGCAGGGGATCAGTGGTCAACTCTTTACTTCAAAAGACATTTTTGCAGAATGGCATTAGCCATTTGCATGCAATGCAAATGAGGAAAATGAGGAAAGCAACCTTTCTTGTGCTGCATTGCTTTAGTTTGCGAAAGAGCATGTTGACAATATTGTTCTGAATTAAAAGATGTTCTGAGCCCAAGATGTGATAAATATGTTACTCCAAGAAGAGGAATAAAGGGAGTATTTGCCTGTATGTGTGATTTATATTTCAGTAGAAAATTCTGGGGAATTTCTCTTTACTTGTGAAACAATATCATCTAGAAATAAGAACAGAATTTCCCAATTTTCAGCTCAATATAATGTCACACCAGTGAACCAGTGTTTGGCACTACAACAGCCATCTACCTGAGCTTCTACTGTCTCCTCTTGTTGCAGTAGGATGGAAAACGGAAGGTTTTGTTTTGCCGTTGTGCCGGCCTTGAGATGATGCAGAGGGCAACGTACAAGTGGAGAAATGAATATTATCAGCCACCTCTGAAACCATCTTTCAACCTTCTTCCAGATTAACTCTCCAAATTAGCTGAGTAGGGAGCTGCCTTCCATTTTTTTTTCTATCCTGAGCAATTTAAGACATGTCTAAACTACAGGACAAGCAGTGCTTCCTGCATGTGGATTACACCCAAGCATGCAATTTTCCACTCTCTTCCCCTATATTTTGGTTTCTATGAGAAGGTAGTAGAGCCATATTACTCTCCATCCAGGTTTCCAACTGAGCAAGAAAGATCTGCAGGAAAGATCTGTAAAGAACATTTCCCACACAGTCTACTCATTACCAGGATCAGCACTGTCCCATCTTTCTGAGAACAGAGTTGTCTTCATTTCTCTGTCATTCCCTGCTGGTCTTACTCCTTCTGTTCCCCTTGTATCTTTTAATTGCTTTCCTATTCCCTTGATACCTTTGCTTTTTCCTCTCCTTCATCTCACCTCACCTCCTGCTCCGTCCTCTTTCTTTCCTCGGTCTCATGTGTCCTTTCCATTGCTCATATGGGTGCAGTTTCCTACCTGAAGAGGGATGATGCTGCCAGCTAGGTAGGAAGGATTGATAGAGAATAAATGGATGCACAACAGATGAAAGCTGCATTGCACGATACAGCAGAAACACGGTGCTGTCCCAAAGGATCCGACACCAACGTTACTGAGACTGATTTGAAGAGCTTCTGAATACCCGTGCTAGCAAAACCAGGTTCCACGGACTGATTTAGAAGGACAAAAAGCTTTCAGGCCTGGAAAGTCAAAACGCAGCAGTTACATCTGTGAGAAATAGCATAGGTTAATACTGTACTTCAAACTGAATGGGACTTGCTCGTTCTGCTTGTGGTAACATTTTTGTGTGTTTCTTCCTTGAAAACTGTGAGGCGCTTGTTAAGTAGGAGACATGTAGCAGAATAAACATTTGTGTAGCGTGTGACTCACATAGAAACAAAACTGTTCTTGCAGTTAAAGTCCAGGAAAACATCCTAAAACTCCTTTGACTTAAGTATCTCAGGATATCCAGTGTCTCAGTAACTGATACACGGCAGCTAACCTCAGGGTCTGTGCCGTTTTCTGAATTCGGCTTGCAGTGCCTTTGAGCAGGAAACTCGGTAAAGGCACTGCAGCTTTCCATTGAGGGGCTTTGCATCTTGCTGGCAGGTAGATTTACATTTTTTTCCCCGCTGTCTGCTAACGTGTTTGCTCTAGCAGCGTTCGCAGACAAACCCGGGAAGCTCTGCTGCCTCCCGATTTCGCGTGGCCTGCTGGCGCGGGGAGCGGGCGCTCACCGGGAGCGTGAAGATGCAGAGTCGGCTCTGCCCCCTTCCCGTTTGCCTCCGGAGCTGTAAACGTCAAAGCTTTTCAAGCGCCCCTCGAACAAAACGAGTTAGTAAATCAGCAGCGGTGGCCCGGCGCACACTCACGCGGTGCATGTTAAGCTCCTGTACTTCATTCACTTCTTTATCCGATGGCTCCGTGAGAAAAGGGAGCTCGCTGCGGCACCGAGATGCCTTACTCATTTTGTTTGTTTTTTTCACATGGCTACTGTTCTTGTTGTGTTTTTTCCAAAAGCTGCGTCAGATGTGCTTAGCATTCAGCTCCACTAGATACGGTGGATGAAAAGGCTATTTTCTCTTCATTGATGAAATATAATTGAACCCACTTATAATGAACTCGGATACCAAATAATGAAACTCCATTTATGTGAGCGGGGCTCTTTACCGAACGTCCCAGTTCCCATTCCCCGAAGGGAATGTTTTATGTGCTTTTCCACCCTTTTAGCTGAGACCAGAATGTGGCAAATCAGCTTTGCCTGAAAATGAAAGTTCCTCATTATCTCTATACCGAAGAGAAGCAAGTTCGTAAAAAGAAATTATAAAGAATATGAGCTGTTCAATTAGCAATCAGTGCTATTTTCAGAAAGCCCTAATAAGGCTTTGTTGAAGAAACCGTTTATTTAGCACACAGTTTTCCCCAATTTTCTCTTTCTTCTGTTTTGTTATTCCATTACACCTCACTGAACAGTACACTGCGTGTCCTCTTTACCTTCAACCTGTTTAAAGTTATCTACTGCAAATTCTCCAGGAAGCTGCCAATTCTGGCACCGCTCTGTAATCTCTTCCCTTGAAAACTCTAAGTGCCTTGTTAAATAGCGAAACAGCATAAGGCAAACATTTGTATTGTGTCTTTGTGACTCCTGCAGAGATAAAGCTATCCTTTCACTTCAAATATGAGAAGATGTCCCTAACCTTTTTTACGTGAAAGTGCTCTGGATAATCGGTGTATTTCACCCAAAGTCTCTGTATGACCTCATGTGCTATCTGGAGAATGTCAGAACTTCGCATTGAAAGATAAGGAAGAAGACTCAGCCCCGGACAAGGAAGATGTGGAAGGAAGGGTGGGCAACCCTCGATGCACATGCTGGATTTTAGGAAAAATAGATTTATCACACACTTTTTCAAGCCTGACTGCCTAAGCCTAGGCATTTTTGTTTCTCTGAACTCTGCTGATGTGTGAGGAGATCAAAATCAACCGGAAGGGCCCTCATTTTTAAAATGAGCAATGTGCTTTTTCTGAGGCATCGTTAGCCTGGGAAATTCAGGAACTCTGAAAAAAAAATTAGCTTAAATTTGGCCACACTGCCACTGTCTGTCCCCAGCCCTGACTTTTCATCAGCTCAGATGGGATCTAATGCAGGAGCAGGCTGCATGCAATCAGGGATCCCCCGGCTCAGTGGAGCCACAGGACTTCATCATGGGACCTTTTGGGGAGAGGTTCTCACATGCAAGCAGCATGGCTTTTGGTCTCACACAGGAATAAATTTCTGTATCTTCATGCACCGTATTTAAAAAGAACATCATTAGCAGGTGTATATGTTAGGGTCCTGAGTGCACTTAATGGCCCTGACCAGCCTCACCTGGGGCCTCCACCACACCCTGCTGTGGGGCCTGGGGGATCCATTTAAGCTCAGCCTGGAGTGGGCCTTTGTTTTTTCCCTGGCCTATGCTAGGGGTGCTGGTCTGCAGCTCTGTTTCTGGCCATGCCTCCTGGTGGACCTTGGGTGTATGCTGTAGGTGCTGTCTCCTGATGGAGCCCTTATATGTATGGTGCAGCTGGTCTTCAGCCCTGGCTTTGGCCTCACCTCCTTTTGCTCTTGCCCAGGCACCCTGGGTGCTCCTGGGTTTGTTGCTTTCCTGAACTGCTGATGGACCTGGCTCTGGCCATTGTGCCTAGGCCCTGGGGACTGTGCCCTGTTGGTGCCTGCATTGTGGTTGCTCTTGGCTCCCTTCCCTGAAGGAGCAGGTGGCCCTCACTGCTTGTGGACAGCATGTGACAAAATTGGATTGGTGTATGCTGCTTGTGTGTGTTGCCTTTCTAGCAAATTGTAAATCCATTTTTCTTAGGAACTGAATGGCCCCGGACTCTTATTGGTGCCAGCTCTGCTCTTCCTGGAACAGTGCTTCTTCATCCATGTAAGTAGAGGATGTGAGCTGACCCTCTTTATATCTTGTGCTCAGCCCAGGTTCTGGGTTGGGATTTTGATGCTTAAACTGAGTTAATGGGCTTTAATTTGCACATAAGCTGTCTCCTGCCCTGAGACTGTAGTTCTGACACAAGTATGATAGCTGGCTATGTATTTTTGTAGCAATCATCCTGCTATCACTAGAAAGTGATTATATCCTGCAAGATCTGAGCTAATTTTTTTTATACTAAGACAACTGCTGCTAGTAAATATCCCTGTTATAAGGGTGGACTCTAATTTTCAGAGAGAGCTAGTAACTCTAAATCACAGAAGAATATCAGCCCACATGTCTTACCAGCTGAGGCAGACAGCTAGGTGATTAAATCCTAGCCAGTCATTGAAAAAGCACTGTAGGCTTAGGAGGTGACAATCTGCTAAGATTGAAAGATGAAAGTGGAAACACCTTCACTAAAGTGCTATGTAGGCTGAGGAGAACTATTGTTAGCATATCTATGCTAATCTGAGAATGAAAAATTCCGGTGGAGCCAAGGAATGTCTAGGAAGCTGCCTGGGAACTTGCCTCCCTTTCTGGATATGGTCTAGGTGGGAAAGCAAATGGGTACCTGGACAATGGTTCCTGAACACCTGTGACCACAGGAGAGACAGCACTAGGAAGACCTGTGTGACTCACCTAACTTGTTTTCCTTAGGCTTTTTAGTATCAAGAGATTGGCACTAGTCTCTGACTTACCAGCGTCAACCTGATCTGAAATGCAGTATGTGATCAGGGGTAAAGTCCCTTATTAACTCTAGTATTTCTTTGGAGAATACTTAGAGGTTAAGCTATAGTTAGCAGTGAGATTAACTAACTAACCCCCTGGTTGAATACCCTCTGGTAGGCTTTTTATTACTCGTATCCAGGCAAGGAAGGATTTGGAGGCCTTACTGAGATAATACACAATGCATTGGAGCTCAGCTGAGGGAAGGAACCCCTAAGAAGAGGGAAGGAACCTGCTTGTCCTTAGGGAAAAGGAGGGGTTTTGGTGTATGGGGGTAGTAGCTGAAAAAGTAAATGATATTAAAAATTAGGGATGGAAGATGGCAACAGTGCCTGCTAGCAAAATGGTACCTCAGAGCAATAGTCCTGTGAAGTTTATACCCAGGAGTCTCCTGTTTTTAGTGCTTTTACTGCAGCTAAATAGGGCTCTAGAAGAACTGCAACTAGTCTGGCTTCAGGCAAGAGCAAGGC